TGAGCTGCGTATTCGCGTGTCGAAGGCAGCAGCGTCATGCGGGAAGCTAGAGTACCGAGTGGGGAACAACCATCAGCTTACCATTGGCACGAAGCTGATGGTGTACAAATCCATGGTGCTGTCCGTTCTTCTTTACGGCAGTGAAACGTAGATGATGTACCGGCAGGATGTGCAATATCTCGAGTGGCTCCATCAACAGTGTTTGCGACGAATTTTGCGCATCGGTTGGGGCGACAGAGTTGCTGACACGGAAGTGTTGCGTCAAAGTGGAATGTATGCAATGGACCGTATACTTTTGCTGAGACACCTGAGGTGGCTCGGTCATGTGAGGCTTATGGATTCAACGCAGATACCGAAACAATTATTATATAGTCAGCTGAGTGTTGTGAAGCGGCATGCGGGGAAACCGAAGTTTGGTTACCGGGACATGATCAAAGTGAGCCTCTCACGTTCTAATCTTGATTGCAGTTCATGGGAATCGAAGGCGGTTGATCGGCGTGCATGGCACGATCTGATCACGAAGGCAGTTTAGGAGGTGCTGTAGAAAGACCACGTGCATGCAGAGAAGAAGCGGCAAGTGCGGAAGCGGCGAGCACCGATGGGTTGTATTCCATCGACATCGAGCGCATAGTGCTGTAGCACATGCGGTCGCGAGTGCCTGAGTCAGGCAGGCCCAGTCAGCCATGAGCGAGGCCACTCGGGACCACCACCGAAGCGACGACGGGTCCTGCAGAGAACGTAGGCAGAACTGGCGCACTGTTTGTAGGTACGCTGCATTCGATTTATTAACAGCGTGCTTGCATGCTAAGTCTCTTTATTTCAAGTGATGGGTTTACAATTTTGTCCTAATGCTTTTCTTTCTCATATTAACGTCTACCTGTACTATCTTCTATAAACTTGCACACGTCGCTGAAGCTAGTTTTAGTTAATTTCTGAAACATTTTCGTGTTTGTGGCACTTTCTTAAAATAAATTTTCTGACGTCTTGAACTTATCGCGGATTCGTTCGTAATCATTTTTTATACGCTCATTTAGTGAAGAGTTATGTCTCCGTATCTGTATGCATTATCCGATTTATTTTATTTCATCTTGTCGTTTCAAGTGATTGGCTGTTGCTTGATATCCCCGATGTGGCTGCGCTTGATGTGAATGTTGACAAGGTGCCTACCTGTCTATTACCCACTACCTCGTCCATACTGGCTCCATGAGACAGTTGGTCGTTGCTGGAGGGGACGGGGTGCACGGTCCTTGTTGTCGTGCTAGGCTCGAAGAGTGGTTCCATGCACTCTGTGTGGAGCGGACTACGGTCCAGACACCGCCTTGTTTGCATTTGATTCCCCAAATACAGCGTGCTTGTGAAAGTGTGGGCCGGCTCCGTTGATGAAACGTGGCTCCGATCCACATACCACCCGGTCTTATTCCTTCGGGTTTACACTGGATATGAAGTGTGTCGGTGGTGTAGCTTAAGTCTCCCTCTGTAGTTGCAGGCATCCTGTGGCTGGCCACAGTGAGTGGCAGGCAAATCGGAAACCGGATGCAGCCAACCAATATGTTTATATATGTATATCTGTTATTGTTAATGTTACGGAGGGGGCAATGCGAAATGCATGCATCTACCAGCCTTCTTCGTCTTTCCCTACCTTTCAAATTGTTCAGTTGATCTAACCATTCTTTTTCTGATGCCAATTTCTCAATACCGGATCCTGTGGGGCGCAACGGTCATTGTAAGCTGGATTAATTGGTGATCCTCGGTCTACTGCTTTCATGACTCCTTCCATCCCGGGGTTGAATCGCTATTACCGTAACTCCAGTGCATTGAATGTGGTAACTGTGTGTAGTTTCGGTGTTGCTCTCTCCCCACTCCGTACTGTGAGATTTGCTTGCTTTTCTCATTATTTAAAACGGTTAAGTAGCATGATTCCTCCTCATGCTTTCAATCGAACTTATTCAGGCTGGCAATATGAGTTCGCCTAATCAGGCACATGATTGGTTGATTGTCGTTGTTTGATACATACAAATCCATCGCACTGTGGGAAACATGCAACGGGCAGTAATGGGTGGTCGTCTCACTGTCCCCGATACGAAATTGATCCATTTGAATATCAATGGCCAGAGTCATACCGTGAGTGTGGAGCGGTTGTCATCATGGGTGGCTATATTCAGATACGCATCAGTCGCTTCTCATCGGATCAAGAGGTCAGGTACCTAGTCTGCTCGATTGCTGGATACCCGAGGTGTGATTGAGAGTCTTTTATTCGGTGTGTTTTAGGCATTCGAATGTTACCGTCAAAAATAAAAGCGGACACTTTATTCCTTGTTCTGGATCAATGGCAGAAAACACACACGAGTAAGCTCATCTAATCAAGTTGTTTGTTGATGATTTCCGCTTTATTGTAAGTCGTTATTAACGTTTTTTCGACTTTTGATGTTTCAATTTTGATGGCTATATTTTGGAAAAAATTGAACAAATCGCTTTGATCTTGTATATCATTTTGAGGTATGTTTTACCTTCCATTTATCAATAGTGGTAGTTTAGCCAAGAAACACGTTCCACACGTTTACAGAACACTTAATGCAACCTTCATTAGAAACAAATTCGCACGATTTTCTTGTTTCACTTTAAAGTTGGTCGAAAGGCATAGGAAACAGCTTATGTCATCAACAGTGCATTACGTCCGGGAACCACTAATGCTTCTTACTGCATAATGGTGGTTCCGAAAATGCCGAAGAGGTTACGAGAGGCTTAAAGATGAAGAGTCTTGTGGGCGGTCATCTGAAGAGAACAACAATCAGTTAACTGTTTTGACAAAGTGGGTCCGCGTGGAACTCTGATCTTGCTTCTGACTTGACAGTATCGCATCTAAGTTTTATAACATCTGCAGGAGATCGGAATATTGGAAGTGCTTGATAAGTGGGTGCCGCCCAGCCTGCATGAAAATCAAGGAAATCCTGGTTTTGAAGTGTCGTCTGCCCTTGTTCTGCGCAATAAAAATAGTCCCTTTCCTTACCTGATTGTGATGGGCGATGAAAAATGGATGCTTTACGACAATCGACGACGTACTGTTCAATGGATGGACCATGATCGAGCTCAACCGCACTTCATGAAGCCGAAAGTATACCTAAAAATAGCTTATGTTGACAGCTTGGAGGTCTGTGGCTGGTCTAATCCATCAGGGCTTTTGGATCCACACAAAACTAACAGCAGAGAAGCATAGTCAGCTAATTTCCGAAATGCACCGAAAACTTCAACACACATGTCCGGCAATGGTCAGTAGAAATGGCCTATTTCGTCTCCACGATAACACTCGGCCGCACGTCACACAATCAACTGTGAGAAATCTGCACGAGCTGGACTACGAAACTTTGCCTCAGTCGCCATACTCCCCGAGCCTATCACCTACCGATTACCACGTGTTCAAGCACCCGAAAAGTTCATTCGAGTAAAATGTTTTAAAACCCAAGAAGATTCCGAAAGCGCATTCAACGAGTTCAGTGTCACCAGAACTCCGAACTTTTAATCATCCGGGATAACCAGACTTGTTTCCCGTTACCAAAAATGTATCAATTTACATGGCTTTTATCTCGACAGCAAACGCTTCCTTGAGCCAAAATATGTGCACTTAAATTTTATGATTAAAGACCGCAATATTTTTATAATCAACCCAATATCTGCTTGCAACTTTCATGTAGGAAAATGGATACCGTTCATTCGTTGGTAGTTGTCACTAAAACTATGAATTTGTCGTGAGCATCGCCTTATCCGCCATAGAGCTAACTTGCTCTATCAATCACCTCGAATAACAATTCCGTTACTTCTAATCAGTAGACTCTCAGTTGCATATGCAGACTCTTGTTTGAAGCTGGGGTGTTTCACCTTGCCTACTTGCGTTTGAACCGGCTTTACTGCTGTCCGAAAGATGTGTCTGGATCTTTGGACTTGCACAATTCAGCCCAAATAAAGTTGGCTTCCTCACTATACTAATGTCAGGAAGCATCTGTTTCTCTGTCATAGCTAGTCCTCAATCTATCTTTCTACTGTATGTATCTTTCCGGGCCAACTGGATCTAGTATGTCCATAGTCTTACGTTTACCCAGTGTCTCATGATGAGGTTGATGTTGCATACATCACGCTTCTTCGCCGCACTTATGCTACACCGGCTTGCACTCTAACTAGATCTTTTTAACCTGGATAAAAGGTGTTCAACTTTGTTTGCGTTGCTCATTTCCGTTTTTCTCCTGCATACTCCCTGTCAATATTGTGAGTTGATTTTCCTTCAAATTATAAGTTTCTTGTTTGATGTCCCCTGTGTGGCCGCGTTTGATGTGAATGTTGACAAGGTACCTAGCTCGCTAGTACCCTCCACCTCGATTGCTGGCTTCAGAAGACTATGTATGGCAGCTGGAGTGCACGAGGGGCACCGGCCTTTTGGCCTTGCTAGGCTCAAAGAGTGGTACCGTGTACTCAGTGTGCAGCGGACTACGGTCTACCCACCGCCCTGGGTACGTCTTTTACGTATAATTTCTCAATTAGGCATGAATGCTTCCGTTCTGCTTTTTGAAGGAGTGTAGGCCGGCTCGTTGATGAAACCTGGCTTCCAGTCTTATTCCTTCGGGTTTACACCGGATACGTGGTGTGTGGATGGAGCTGTGGGTGGTGCAGCGCCAGCCGCCCAGGGTTCCTCTGTAGGTGCAGTCGTCCTGTGGCTGTCCCCATGGAGACCGCAATGACAAACAACTCGGGAAATGGATGCCGCCAACCCGGTCCAAATCAGTTACGATTGAGATGCCTCCTTAAAATGCAGCGTAATGCAAATGCCGTACTGTGACAAGTGCCACTCACCTCATTCGGTGACCATAAAGCAAAGCGCTAGCCGGCAGATGCCAGATCACGGCTCCACTTCTGACCATGACTGTCTGACTAGTGCAATCCAGAACGCTGCTGTTAGTGGAGTACAGTGCTTAAAGCCGACAACATTGAAAATTTATATGCCATTTTTCTATTATCCAACTGATGCGGCTGTTCGCCAAGAAACTCAACCTAGTAAGCATGCTATTCATGTAATGCGACCATAACTGGCTGGATAACAGACCAACCTGCAAAATGATTTAATGTGCGAGTGGCGATGTTACGAACCACTACACTGACGGTGGCAGCGTTATCCGCCCGCTAAGAAGGGAGGAATCCATGATGCTTCACTGTGAAGCCAACAGCCGCAAGCGCCTGTCCTTATCTTGATCTACTTACGACGGTGGCCGAAACTTCAGATCACCTACGCATTAGTAACACATGCCCCCTACACTACCTGCTCTGAAGCGCATACCTTACGAGCGATTTACATGACTAAGACCGGGTGCGTTATTAGCGGATCTAGAACCGCTGTGCCCTAGCAGTTTACCTTTCTTCATGTCCACTGAGGTGAAAATTTGTCCTTTAGTATTCACTCAAAATGCAACAACCAGGTATTCCAATATTTTTGCTAATCAGCGGCAATGTTACAATTTACCAAGGATACATTAACTATATGGAATGACATTTCATGGTTCGTTTGGAGCGCCCGCTACCTAAACTGATTTTCACTGCAATCTGGATCGCGATTAAAGTTTTAGAGTATCTCTGCCAATTCTGTCACCGGATGACATTTGTTTATAGTTGACAGCTCCATCAATAGCCGAACTCGATTTTCAGCTTCTCCCACGCTATCACTGCCTACCAATGTGCGTGGCGCCACAGCGGTAGCTAATATAATATTTGTGCTGGTGGACGCTCAAAATTTGGGAGTCCGGTTTCAAAGCACAATCAGCCTTCTTGCCGAGGGGGTGTTACTCACAGTGTTTAGCGCATCTATAAAGCGAATCAACCGTAAGTTATTCTTCTTTTCTTGCATCACTTCATCGGATATCTGATCCGATTCATATCGAGTGTGGTGTTCCACAAGGATCAGTTCTTGGGCAGAGTCTGTTTCTTGTGTTCATTAATGAGCTTACGCGTTTATTTGCCAAGGATTCCTTGTTCGCTGATGATTTTAAGATGTGGCGGGCCATCGCCGACCAAAAAGATCACGAAGCACTTCAGAAAGACATGGACAGGGCGTATAAATCTTCCCTCAACAAACTGCTCTAGTTTAATTCTTCAGGGTGTTAGGTTGTCCACATTCGTCACGAGCCGAACAACATATGCAAGCTTGGAGACCATGACCCGCATGCAATTAAGCACGAGCGCGACCTTTCAGTATTAATTCAAACTGATCTGGGTCCATCAGAACGATCCTAGAATGAGTGGAAAACTAGAAACCAACACTTTGGCATACAGATTGATCTTGCTGAAGATCGTCTTACATGTGAGACATGCGGTAAGGTCCTGCATATGTGGGTTGGGATATCTATCTGGAACGGTTAGCCGAATGAGTGCGCGGTAATCACTGCAAGGGCGCCGGTCACCAGATTTCTTAGGGACCATTTGCAGGGGAGAGAACCAAGGGCTGTCGGAAGGGCGGATTATTCCAAGTTCGAGAATGTGCGCAAACCGCTTTAGCTACTTTAAGTTTCTCGAGTGATACTCGTCGTTGATGACATGCGACGGGTGGGCCATTCGTTCGAATGTGGTGCTTGACCTGGGATGGCATGGGAAGGGTTGTGTTCATTGGCTGAACAAGTTTGGAGTACTGGGAGAAGAGATTGACGTAGACTGGCGAGGTCTGGTGAAAGGCTTAGACCGGTGTTATAGATGCGATATCGGCGTTGATGCTACATACACTGAGTTTCGTTACAGTGTCGACTATCATCTGGCGTTTCGCATCCACCAAGAGGTCGAAATGTTTGAGAAACAATGGAGCAATGGAACAAGGTTTTCTACGAGTAAAAAGGTAGTGCATAACAGGTTCCATAGGATGGTTATGGTGAAACTTCGAAATATAAAAGTTGGCAAAACTGGGTTTACGCCAGTGATGGTGTCAAAGGGGACTGCAACAACGGTGAATACCCAACTGGATGTGCGCCGAAGACCTGGGTCTAGGATATACTATGATCGTAGGTCCCTACTGGCGTACCATTGGCAGTACTTTGGCTTCTTGACAAAGTAAGGGTAGGCTCTCCTGGCATAGGGGAGATGACACTGACTTCCGCACCGGTATCAAATAAGAATTGGGTCTCGAAATTATAACCCCTAATATAGATGAGACAGAATTGACTTTGCTGACGTCATGGTCAATACAGGCCGGCGTGGCGAATCATTTGTAGCAGAGTAAGTACATAGCTGTACGCAGTTGCGGGCTTTATTACCGAAAAGCGAGTGGTAAAAGCATCAACCTAGGGAATCAGGTTTTGTGCGACGGGGCGACAATCCATAGCGGCTGCGGTGTTTACGGTTTAAAGTGAGTTCCTCGATCTGGCGTTGAAGCGACGCTATCTGCGATGATAAGTCGTCTATTGCCGATGTCTGGCTACTCGCGGGTGATGCTGTGGTTACGCCAGCACAAAGCTGCTTAGGTGTTCTGGTTTCATTCACTGGCTGCTGCCGTTCGATGACGCGGTCTGCTAGATATGCAATTGCTTTGAGTGGCAAGTCACTTGCTACTGCAAGGATAGCCTGAGTGCTTTCAGGGTGGCATTGCGTCCACAACTCGCGGAGAATCCCTACATCTATGTTGGATGTGCCAATGAGTTGTTACATTTCTCGCAACAAGGCTGTGGGCATCCTATCTCTTAGGTGCAAAGCACTAAATAGTTGCTGCACTCAGACCTTGTCAGAAAGTGTGATTCGCTAAATAATAGCCTGTTTAAGAGTCTCGCCTTTCATTACAAGAGGAAGCAAAATATAATGTCTCTCACCCGCGAGGATGCACTCTGAGGAAGGCGAGATATTAGCTGATTATGCATGGGAAAATCGTACGAAATCCAACTAATGTAAAAAGATGGATTCTAGGGGCAAAACCATAACGAAGGATCATCCTCTTAAAAAGGTGCGGGGGGGGGGCTACCGCTACGGCGCTGACCACGAATGGAGATGACTTATCCTCTGGATAATTCATCGCAAATGGCGAATAAAAATGTGGCAGGTGCGAAAACAATATGATCACAAGTAGTGAATCACAAAGTCACTCGAACCATCTCACCACAATGCTAATTCAAAATGGCGGGTGACATGTTCTGGACCGGGGTCTCTAATTGTTGGGTGGCGCCTGGGATACTACTCAGTAACAAATGACATGTAAGAGACGTGTCAAATACGAGACAGGATAGAAGTTGGAGGCAACTAAACCTAACGTGTACTGTGCAGGCTACAAAAGCAAGAAGCGAATCAACGTGAGCGTGAAACGGTGCAGCACGGTACTCTCCAAAGGAGTTTGTGAAAACGGAAGTGTCGTCAGTAAAACAAGTGGACGTTTTAAAGGTTAAAACACCAATAAATTCCAAAGTTGCGAAATACTGGAAATGTGTTTTCAGGTGCATTACACCATCCCCCGACTAAAGAATAGTGGAATGCACTCAACCTCGCCCCCACCCGAGACACAATATGCCAATGAATAGAATCGCTGAGACTTTACCTCGTCACCAATGTAAGCTAGAAACCGTCAAAGGTAGATCGGCCGAACGGGTTGTTGATTTATGCCCCAACAGACGTTTGCAAGCGATCGAACTAACACAGCTACTTCCATCAACACGGAGTAAGAAAATGGTTTTTTCGCTTCCCATCCACTGTTCAAATGTCAGTATTGTCTTCTAAGTTCCCTTGGACATGGCACTTTAAGTCTAGAATTAATGGCGCTAGCAATAATCAGTTACCTCCCGTTAACGCATGCGACGAGAGTTCAATCGAACCTAGAATGGCAGTCAGCTTTGAGCGATTGCAGGCACTTTTGCAGGAGCAGCAGACGCTGTTCGAAAAGTCACAGAGGCAGCTGATGGCAGTGTTATCACAAAAATTAAACATTCATGTAGAATGGGAACTGGAAGTGAGGTTGACATCGCAAGAAATTCTTTCAGAATGTCAGAAGTTGCTCAAATTGACTCCTGCTGCAAATGTGGTCGCAAATTCAGAAGCTATGGAGGAGCAAAACTTCTGCCACACTGCCACTTCAGAATCAGATGTGCCCATCAGACTTAAAGATGCGACGATAGAAATCAATGGCAGTCAGAGTACACAAATGAATAGACGCCACGAAGCAATGCTCCAACTTGGTCCAGAATGCTGCAGAATCACCAGTGCTGCCCCGAACCTCAAGCCAGTCACTAAACCAGTATCCAGAGCAAAACGCCTTGTGCCAATCAGGAAAGAAAAGCATTGCAGTTGTCAGGCTGGGAAACGTCGGACAGACAGGGTGTGTCATTACAGAATTCGTGACAGGGGTTACGCGCTAGAGTTCCGAGGACGGAAGAGCTGGTCAACAGGAAGAGTGATCCGAACAAATGGTGGAGTCAATCATCAACTAACGGTGGAAAACAAGAAATGCATCAAGAACGCAGACCAGCGGAGACCGAAGCACGGAAAAATACAAGGGCCAGTAGACAACATATATCGAAGAAGAAGAGGAAGAAAACCACCAATGCAACTGGTTGATGTCAAAACAAAGAAAGCTGCTTTGAAGCTAGTATGCATGGTGGGGAAACAGCTTCAATTCGGAGGAGGAGGTGTCACAAAGGCGAAACGGCTACAAATTGATCCCCGGGCGAAAAGCTACGAACTCAATCAGGTTCGAAGGGTGTGCAAGCTGACTCAAGTCGCAAGGGGAAGTAACAGCTGGGCGAGAAAGCTGAGTGCCAACGCTCGCGCGTTTGCCACCTATCGTGTATGGGAAAGTCCCTGCTAGCGTGTTAGCAGGACCCAGCCGAGAGCTGATGAAATCGCGCATCAGACACCGGGCTTGTCGCCAAGGCCTGACCGGAAGCTGATGAAATCGCGCGTCAGACATAAAGCGCGTTGCCGTGCGTTGCGTAGGCGGACGAATACTGGAATGCGCGAGCAACACGGTGAACTATAGATAGATGGAGCGGACAAGTATGTGTGGCGCGTGGGCATATAGTCAAATTCGCATTGTGATACCGACATATAAATATGAGCTCTCTTTGCCCTAATAGAACTCTGGTCTGCTGAGTACTCTTCTGTCTTCCTTCCGGTCGGGTTTGCCAAGGGGTTAAACAGAGCACGCGTAAGGGCGCAGATTTAGCAGCAGGCGTGAATCAACCAGTCGGTCGCTAGCAGGGCACAGCGAAATAACATATGGGGACCAACGTTTGTGGCTTTTTAGCATACAGATGCATTTTTTGTTTCACTTGATACGTTGTTTCGTCTAACTTTATCTCTCTTCTCACCCACCCCAAGCAACGAATACACTGTCAATGTTACTGTACTGGAAGGTACGGAAGAATTGAAGTTAATGAGACACGTACTGGAAACACTCACAAGTCAGATACATGAGTAAGTTTAGAGCCCTCGGTTTGAATTAAATCCTATCTGCGTCCAGCTTTAAACATGTAAACTGCTACATAAACTTAATACTGATTAACCACTGTGGCATTCAATCTTGACGCGTTTATCAAAATATGTGCCTACAAACCCTACTGGATCAGGAGCGGTTTCATTAAGTTTGGATCCCTTACAGATGAAGATCGAACGTGCACGACATCCTGCTTTATTGACCAGTGAACATAAAGAAAGAACCATCCTACTATTTGGTGGGAAGAATCTCTGAAGTAATAATTCCACTTATACCCTCTTTGGGCCTGGTGATTCAGCTGCAATGATCTCTGTCTTTATTTAGAGCGCACTGTTGCACGAATCAGCAGTTGTGCAAACCATTTAGAGCAAACTCCGAATGTGATTCGATTAATCAGCACCTGAACAGCCACGCTCCCAAGAAACCCACGATCTCACGGGAGTTGATATTTCTAATTAATCAAGTCGCACAAAAGGTGAACAGCTGGATCCGACTGAGTAATGCTTTTAAATTGAAATAGATTTTAGCGACATGATCATAGTTTTGTTAGTATGGAGGGAATATGGTGAAAAGGAATTACTAGTACTTTGTGCTGTCTACCGAGAGGTTGCGAGGCTCTTGAAACAGTGTAGCCGCCCAAAAGATATCTGCTCAAGTGAGCATATATGAAAGATCGTTTGGATGGATCGAGTCAAAGTACTCAAGCGCGATGGTGAAATTTCAGTAACTGGTGAAATTTGTCATCTTATAGTATCGAGCAGCAAAAACACCTGCTTACTAGCCTAAGTAATTTGTCCAAACAGACCAACTTACAAACTGACTTTGACGGGAGTACAATTACACCTGAGAGGACTTACATCGTCTCACTCATTACCCAAATATGTCATTCTGTTGAACGAATTAGGCGAAGCGCTTTGTTCAGCCAAAGGAAAGCTGAAGCTGTTAACCGCGTGCTGGCCAATCCCAGCTGAGAATAAAACAAGTGCATTTTAACACCTAACTTCACTCCGCCGGAATGAAAGTTGGGCACGTTGGACTGATCTACCGCACCAACCGCAGAGCACACGTCAAACAACTGCAGCGACTGGCATTATCTGCCACTTGCGATCTGGTGCATCATTGTCGTTGTTGGAAATCACCTGTTACTCTGGGTTGAACTGAGAGAAAAGATGGTGGTGGATGTTTTTCTTCTTGGTCCAACACAGACGAGACCAGATCGTGCTTTCGGACCAAGCACTGTGATGATATCACTGTGGTGAGGAAACTTCCTGTCTCCTTTAAAACGAACTAAACCGCCAAACTAGCAATAACAAATGCGAAGCTCTGTTTCTCACTGGTGCAGCAGAGGGACAGGCACTGCGTCAAATGCTGGCAGTGGATCAGGTGAACTGCAGACACACCAATCAGGAGGCCGTAGGGCCGGGAGGTCTGACCGTTCCGCAAGTGTACATGATCCACCCCTGCAGTGCCGCAATTGACGCACCATCTTAATCAGACATCTGGCAGTCAGATGAGGGAACACCACACGCGTCCTGGCCGTACACGAATATAACACTGGCGGCTCTGCGCGTCGTTTTCGCGCGTTTCGTGGCAGCCACCGTAACGTACAGTTCAAGCGCAGCGTGAGGCTAAGAAGTGCAGTCGATAGGGAATTCGTACTAGATGATAATTCCAGAAGACGAACAAGCTGGTTCCCTGCAACATGAGATTCGCTTTATGGTTCCAACAGAAAAAGCAGAAGACACTTGTTATGAGACGAATCAGCTAACTCGTACGAGTATTTCCGCGTGCTCTAGGTCGCACTGGTGGCCTTCGGCATCCATATGCATGGACATCAAAGAATTCTGATCATGGCGGCGGATTGCTAGGCTATGTTCATGTAGCCGCGTGCCAACCTTCCTTCTTGTTTGTCCTAATCAGTATTTATCGCAGTCTCAGCAGCATATCTTGTAGATAACACCAGATGCCTTCCACTGGCCAAGCTTATCTTTCATTTTGCAAAGTTTATTTTAAACTATTTCTGTTGGTTGGTGGGCAATTTTGACTCCCAAGGGCAACGGAAGCTTCGTTGCCATTTCAGAGATTCCGTTGACGTAATGAAACACGGCTCATTTTTCAACCGTTGCATTTGTTGAATTGTGTTGTGTTGCCTTATTTGGGGCCAAGTAGCGCAGAATGAAGCATTTTGGGTACGAATTCTGTTTGAACAGGCTGAAGAGATGGTCTTCCTTCGCCTGCCTCAGCTCCTGCATGCTACAATGCGTCCGTGCCCGTTTGAAAAGTGTTAGCACGCAACTGAGTTTGTGGACTGCCGGATGATTGCTGTTGTAGTTGTGGATCCGGTCCGTATGTGTTGATTTTTGATAGACTGTCGTTACGAGTGGCCCTGAACCAGTCCTACGTATGAGAACGTCCAAAAATGACAGTGGCCCATTGTTTTCCTCTTCCCTCGTAAATTGCATGACGTCGAGCACACTGTGATTAGCCCATGTGTCTCCTCTAATTTGGAAGGTTTGAGAATGAAGAAGGTGCCTTCTATGTAGCGCACCCAAATTTCGGTTTAACGATAAGGAATGTTATCCGTTCTAGCGCCTGCATTACTGCTTCGGCTACTAGTCCAGAGATCGGCGATCCCGTTGGCGTACCTCCTATCTGCTGGTAGATTTAGCCGTTACAGGTGAAATGTGTTCTTAAAGAGAATCTCAGCAGATCCATTTGTCCGGCGTCGATTTTACTACTTGTATCGGAAGCTGCGTGTTCCTCCGGTAGAGCAGCCACTGTTTGTTTGGCCAACTTGATGTCGATCGATGTGAACAGCGCCGTCGCATACAAACAGACCATTATTTAGTCTTGTTATGTGTTTGTATTTTGGAGTTTTGCTAGGTACTGTTCTGCCGAGTTGACCGAGTGTTCTAATCCCGCAATAAGATGTTTTAGCCGTCTTTAGAGCTGTTTTGCAAGTCTGTAGTCTAGTGCCCCAGGTAACGACACGATGGGACTGAGAGGCACTGCGTTTTTGTGTACTTTGGTCTTACCTTAAAGCCGCACTGGCGATGTTGTCTAGTCTTGCAGCGAAACGTCTGCAAAATAAACCCTCAGCTCAGATCGGTTATCTGCATGAATCTCCGAGCTGCTCCGTGGCACAGCTCTATACGCGCATCCGTGATCTCACTGAGCTCAACAGATCTAGTAACTCAAAGGTGTTCATAAGTAAATCCAGTGGTAAATTGGCAGGGAACGAGACTGTGTTTGATCCGTCTTTTGCGTGGATGTCTAACGTGCTAAAAGACAGATAACGGTCCTATAGACACCTCGTACAGCATACCACCTTTCCATTTTCGTACCACTGCAGACTGCAGGGTTTGGGGGTTCGGTATTGCAACTAACTAGTGCACCTATCCCCAAGCAAGAAGACTGCTCACTTCTGATTCGCATGGCCTTTGCGTACTCTTCAATTAGTAGGCCTATTTCACGTACGAACGTGACTTCTGCTTAGATCTGCTGCTTTCTGTAGCGGGATTATGCATAGCTCCATAATCTAACGGAAATGTATAATCCCCTCTGTCGGTCCTTTCCCACACCAGTTTTAGAATTGTAGGTTTGAAGGTATCCATGACTTTTTATGCTTGCCCGTTGGGCTGATGTTCCAAAGGCGACCTCTAGTCGTTGATGCCGTTACGCCGGCAGAAAATATTGAAATTACTCTTGTAGGTTTCATACTGTGGCTGCTGCGTGATCTTATTCATCAAGTACAAGTCCGGCCACTTCTTGTACGCATCTATCACAAATAAGAAACAGCGGCCTTGCAATAGGCGGGCGAATTCGACCTAGGTTCAAGTGCAATCAAGTCAAAATATGCTTTATGAATTCGACTGAGAAGATTGTCAGCATTTTACACTAGCACTGCGGATGTAATGCGACACAGTATTAGCATGAAATTGCGATCAAAGCGTATATGGGAGCAAATGTACATCCAAATCACTCAAAAAAGCATTAACGCATGGTGCTGATTGTAACTGCTATTAACTGAAATATTGTACTCTATAAGTCTAGTCTCATGCACGGCTTGCTTCTTAGGGAAAAAACAGCAATACTCCATGTGTGGTGGAATGGTAAATATGGGTCTATAACAGTAAATTTAAACGTATATAAATGACTTACGACTGCGTTTGCATAAGTAGCCTCAATGTTGCTCAACAGTGAGCCGAACCAATCGCAGCAGTCTGTATTCCCAATCAGCGGTAAACGGGAGGCAGTGGTGAGACGGACAGAAGCAGCCAGCAACTCAACATTGAAGTGTGATTATGAGCCACTAGGACGGTGCTGCAGTTAAGTACGAAGGTAAAATAAACTATATATATATATATATATATATATATATATATATATATATATATATATATATATGAGTAGGACAAGTAGGATATAATTGCAAGTTCGCAATATGCGAATAGGTAATTCACACTGATACGTTTTTTTAAGACAACACAAAAAACTGGATAAATGCGTTAAGGTAGGTTTATGCTAATATGTCGTGCGAGTAGACAAGCCAAAGAGAGCTTTTGATAAATCATCATGAATAGGAGTGAGAACAGTTGATTTAAACTTTTAATGTAATTATGTCACATGCACCAAAATGTTTAGTGACGAGGAAGTCAACCAGAGACGCTCTTGGAAATCCACCGCATCTGGAAAGGAGCTTAATCAAACGCACCGTCAATTTGAAGTATCTCAATAGACCAGGAAAAAGGACAGGTGAGCAATATGGCCATGGAGGAAGGACTGTAGGCAGTCACACATTTGTTAAAAAAATAGCAGGCTCCTGTATGCATTTTGAGTCGCCGGGTATAAAATGATAATTTTTTCACCTTGCGGAACGTCTCGTCAAGGTGTTTTGACCAAGATAGATTATGAGATAAATATACACCAAGGTACTTAGCAGTGGATGGACTGGGCATGTTGTGGTCGCTTGCCACCACAGGGCG